TGCCCTGTGCCACGGATCCATTATAATAGCTCTTGATGTTCAAAATGCACAATCCTTATACACATTCAAAAAAATCATCAAGAACCACTATTTTTCTGAACTTCTAAATAATATATAGTTTAAAGTCTTTGATGTCAATTAGGTTGAATCTGACTCTGATGTTTTGAAAATGTTTTTTTCCTTATTGTTCTATTATTATTCTGTAATATTTGTATTCTCATTTAGGGACCACAGTGGAATTAAGTTGAATTTTGTACTTTTCTGTGTTTTTATCCTTGAATGTTTTTACTTATAATTACTTCAGAATGAATAAATAAAAAAATAAAGAAATGTTGACTAAAAGAAAATTTGAATGTATTAGTCTGTATCGGCATTGGATTGCAAGCAGGAGCATACTCCAGTAGTGAAGTATGTTGCGCTTTGTGCTGGTTTGCTATTTATCGATCCAACGACCAATAATAACCACGTCAGGGATGGGTGTATGTGCAGACGAGTTCCTGAAGCTTTTGTTGGGCATAATCCGTGAAAAGTCAGTGCTATTCCATGATTCATTGGATAATGAATTATCAAGAGATACGAGAGAAAAAAAGACATGCGCAATTAAGCATTATCCTCTCAATCAAAACAATATTCAGTAATTTCTCCAAATATTGTAATATCAAGCGCCGATGTACGCCATTGTTTTGGAAACTAACCTTAAGGGAGATTTGCAATTTAGTCAGTTCATCGTATTCTATAATACGCCCTGTAAGACAGAAAACATCCTGAATCATTTACTTTGCCACCATTTTCTGTGTACTCTTCGAAGAGGGTGAGGGCCACAAAACAGATTATGTTTTGCATTTTACGATGAAAATGATGGATGGTTCCCCTCCCCCTAGTCCTTTTTGTATTTATGTAGGTTTTTTCAACTTGTCTTGACGTCATGGTTCTAGGTCTTATAATTTACATTTTTTAACAATGTTTATCAAAGCAGTTGATATCAATAGGCCTACAAATGTAAAGTTTGTTCAGTTGTTAGGCCTAATGTTCATTTCTGTGTTTTGGGTACGGTATCTGTTTTAAAATCTTGTGTATTATAATGAATAAACCTGACTACAGTTAAAAAAAACCTTGGATTTGCTTCACAGGAGGGGTTTACGGTTTAATATTTTGGAAAAACCGGATCTCCGATAATAGTGCATGACAATAATAATGATACTAGTATCAGCATATCACACACACAAGCACACACACACACGTA